GCTGCCTTCCCCCTCCTAGGCCCTTCTAATGCTTGGGACCAGCATGCGACACGCTGGTAGCAACTGCTGCAACTAAAAATTGTGGTAGGAAATATATTGCCCTGGGGTCTTCTAGTTAGACACAGTCGTTGGGCTGTGTCCTGCCCATCGACAAGAGCACCCAGGACCACTCTGGGATGCTAACCAGTGCTGGCGTGTCTCCTCGTCCCCATCTTCCCATCCTTTGTCTCCGAGTCGCCCCCACCCCAAGGAGCTGACAGTCTCCTGTGCAGCCCCTGGCACAACAGGGCCCTGTTTCGGGACTGGGGCTCCAGGAGAGAGAAGGGGAAGGATGGGCAGCCGCCGGCTGGTCTGGCAATGAGCCTTTTCCCTGACCAGCAGCCAGATGACAGCGAGGTGACAGCGAGGTGGCAGCGAGGTGGCAGCCCGGCGCTGCCGACAGTGGGTGCCTGCAGCTGCTTGGCCACCAGAGGGGGGCCGATAGTCGCCTTGAAACCCTGCGGGTTGGGTTCCCGCTGCCTTTTTATTTATTCCCTTATTTTCAGGCAACCTCTTGGTCTAGCAGAGGGGTTGGCCGGCAGATTTTCTTGCTCTAACCCTCAGCTTGGGGTGTAGGGGAAGGCAGCACCCAGGAACCGTCCCCTCGTCCCCGCTGCCCCTCTCCCCCTTGCCCTTTTGGTTTCCAACCACATGAAAACGCATGGGAGGAAGCTGGATTTACGCGCCTGTGATTAACCTGCAGCAGGCTCTCTCAGGAGGCTGAGGACAAATAGCTCAGCAGGAATAATGTGCTCGATACGGACAAACACCAGCAGTAACACTAACCAGATTAGATGCGTTCCCTCAGGCTCTTGGACACACATTAGTCATCGGCGTGAGGGGGGAGAGGGAGCTTTACCACATGGACCACGGAAGCGTAATTGAGTTTATACACAGAGCTGATGTTCTCCTTTTAGGGCTCATTATAATGAAATGGACTTCTCTATTAGCTGCAGGCACCGCAGCTTTCCGGAGAGCCTGTGGGAATGGAAGCAGAGCTAACTCGGTTGGTGCTGACTGCTCTGCTCAGTGGCACTGCAAAGAGCAGAGGGAAAGGCACCAGGGAAGGGGGTAGGATGGTGATGCTGCACCTGAGGCATCTTCAGACTCCAGAAACACTTATCAACCAGAAAGTGCCTGTCGGTCTGCATTTCTCAGTTCCACACCTCTCTCTGCTCCTCAGGTGCTGGGTTCAGCCTTGGAGGCCTGGGGTTGTGTGAAGGCCCAGGCAGAGGCTCGGGTGCTGCTACGAGGCTGTGGTGTTGAAGCAGAAGCCTATAAAAGGATAAGAGGGTGCAGAGGAAACGCACAGCTCCTCCCGATCCCTTTGTCTTGTCGAACACGGTCAAAGCGGCTGCCAGCAGGGACTGAAAGGCAAGGAGCACGTGGCTGAGCGGAGCTGTCTGCTCCACAGATGGACTGAGGAAAGCGAGAGCTTTCCTCCCTGCCCTCCCCAAGGGAGGATAAAAGGGTGCGACATGGATGTGGATAATGAAAACACCCATGGTTAAATAAGATTTAAAGCAAACAAACCTTCCTGCTTCGGGGCCAAACCCTGCCTCTGACGGACAGGAGTTAAAAGCAGCTTTCTCTCTGCTTCCTCCTGCCTGCCTCGAAGCAAGCCCAGGATGCTAACCTGGAGGAGTGTTTGGCAGCTGGCGGCTCCAGGCAGGAAGAGGACAGCAGAATCTGCTTTAATCCTGTCATAGTTCTCAAGCTAATTAGGATCAAGCTAATTTAATACTTGAACAAGGAACAGGCAGATCCTTCACGGAACTGGGTGTTAACAGCTTTCCAGAAACCCTCTTCCCTCTCGGGAAGGGCCACCCGCAGCATCCTGCTGGGCCTGTAAGGGGGGCTCTCCCTCGTGCCCTGTGGCCCTGGTGGGTGCTGGCACCCGTGTGTCCCTCTGCACCTCAGGAGTCTTTGGCACGTTTGCAGACTGTCTGGCTGTCTGCTGCCTTAGCTGAATTTTGGCAGTGTTGTTCTGTCACCCGGACAAGTTCCTGTGTAGTCTCTGTGGACTGCTGGGCCATGTCCGCTCTGTGCCCTCCTCGAGCCGCCAGCCCTGCCTGCAGGCACAAGAGCATGCTTTTTCCTCCATGGCCCCGGCCTAGCACAGGCTCAGGGAATCAAGGGGGGGCTGTCTGCTGAAAACCGTCCTCAGCGATCCCGATGGCTACGGCTGCAGTTGTCATTTCATCTCTGCCTCCTCACCTTCATCCCTCCCCCTGCATCTCATCCCCTGCTCTGTTTTCCACTGCTCCTCTGCTCCATTTGCGACTGTGGCTGTGGGGAAGATGAAGTCTGGCTTGGCCTTCCTTCCCCAGAAACCTGCGCTGGGGGGGGGGTGCCCTCCCCAGTTTTCTCTGGCTGCCTTTTGCCTTCCCAATCAGTCATGGTAATTTCCCCTGGCACTGTTTGGCAGGGGCTGTACCTTGGCATAACGAGCAACCAGGGTCAGCTGTCAGCCTCTGAGCCATGAGCCTAATGCAACACAACAGATGTAGGTATTTTTTCCAAGTTTTCTCTGGGCAGCAGGATTAAAGTCTCTGTTCTCAGCTGGGGTTCCCAGTGTAGTCACTTCCCTCTGCATTACACAACACCCTATTAAGACGAACAGCACAAACATGTTCATTGGGATCCCTTCCCCCAACCCCAGAAGGCCAAGGAACAAAGACGAGGAGGTTTCCAAAGGCTGGGAAGCTGCCTCTTTGGTCCAGGAGCCCTGAGATAATCCTGCCCGGACATCCCCTGCGAAATCACCCTGTGGCTCTCTGCTCATCTCCATCCTCGTGGTGCCAGGGGTGAGGGGTAAAAGAGTAGTGGGGTCACGTTCTGCTTAATCCATCAGGCTGTGTGCAAAGCTGGGTGGGTGTAGAAGGGGAGAAACTGGTGTAGCAGCAACCCCACCATGCCTGGTGCCTGTGCCTGCCCTGCCTGCTGATGTGGAGGCTTCTGAGTGTGTATGTGTGCATGAGCCCAGCAAAAGACAGTGATGAGGAGGATTTTCTCAGCACTAGCAATGCAGACAGAGTTATGGTGTGGTCCAGACACACTTTCTTGCTTGAATTCAAAGCTTTCATGCCATGTCAAGACTCTGGTGCTTTTCTGCTGGACACAAAGCTGCCTTAGGGATGTGGTGTGCTCTCTGTAGCCGACTGAAGCGGCTGGTCACAGAGAGGGACTCCGGGCACCCTTGGTGAGACAGAGAGGGCTTCCCCAGCAGCCCGAGGGGAGCATAAGTTCTTGTGAGCACACACGGAACAAGGATCTGCTGCTGCTGCACACCAATTACTCGCTTTATTGACAGAAGACCATAAATGAACAAGGGAATTAATTAGGGCTGCAGCAGGCCAGGTTGGATGCCTGCAGGGCTGAGAAGGCTGGAGCTGGTTCAAAGCGCAGGGGGAGCAGAAGGCCCCGGAGCTCTGTGTAGCAAACAAAGGTGCTGCCACCGGTTCAACCCCTCGGGGAGAGCTGTGAAAAAGCCTCTGTGACCAGAAGGACAGTCCGTAGGAGGGGGAGAGACCAGTTCCTGGCAGCATCTGTTTGTTCAGGCCTCGGATGAAGGACTTAAGCAGCTTGTTAATTCGCTCCTTGTCCAGCTGCAGGCTTAGTCACTGTGAGCGGGCCTCCAGGGCAGCCCGCGCGGTTGTGAGCCAGCTCCTCCAGCCCTGGTACTTTCCGTGTGCTGGACGAGCCAGCGGTGGAGCCGGGGGGTGTGTTGCAGCTGTCTGGCCCAGCTCTAGCAAAGCGCTCGCAGCAGGTCCTTTCCATCTGCCTTGGCCCAAGAGTGACCCTTGCAAACCTCCTCTCCCCTGCCGTCGCCTCAGCAGATGGTGGGAAGGCAGATGGGGAGGAGGAGATCTGTGAAGCTGGAGTGATAGAGGCCTGGCCCAGTGGCACCTCTCGTCCTTGCACCTCTCCACCTTGTGTTGGTGGGGTCTTTGAGCCCATGAGCCTGGGAGGGGTGTGCTCAGCTGCTGCGAATCGCTGCAAGCCACTTCGGGCAGCTGATTTCTTGACACCCTGTCTCGCCCCACATATTAGATGCTGGATGCAGAAAATCTGCACTGGGAGCAGTGCAGGGAGTCGTTTCCTCACCTAAAATTTTACTAGCCTGCAGGAGCTCAAGGAGGTGGAGCGAGGTGCTTGGCCCACTGTGGAGGAAGCTTCAGCTCAGCAAAGGGTGTTTGGGACAGCTGAGCTGTGGATCACCCGCCAGGCTGCACCAGCTGCTCTGGAGTCAAAATTCAAACCACAACCAGACTTGGTCCTGATTCCAGACTTTTCCTTCACCTCATTAGTTAGCGGCTTCGAATGCAAATTCTGTGGCCGGTACACGAAGGCCTGGCCAGCGTGCAGGGCTCCTGTCCAGCTGCCCTCGTTCGATCCTCCTCCCTGACGGGCCTGGCTGGACGCAAGAATCGCGAAGGTCTCGGAGGGAATTTGAGGGGTATCCAGGTCATAGCATTCAGCGTTGTCACGCTTTCTCTCCAGGTGGCAGCAGTGGTTGACTTGGACAGAGGGCAGTCCTTTCCCAAAGACAAGTCAGGCAGACGTGTCCCAGCGCAACACAGAGGTGCAAGGTTTGCTTTGCAGAGGCAGTTTGCCCCCCTTTGCGTTACAAACGATGCAGACAGCTTGTGAGAGATGACCCTGCCTCCTGCAAAACAGCTTGTGCAAGCAGCGTGGACAAGGAGCAAGAAGCAGCCTGAAAAGGAATAGCAGGATGGTGGAGAGAAGCTTGGAAAGGTTGTCAGGCCCTTGCAAAGGCAAAGATGACTAGGGGCCATGTAGAGGGGCTCCACTGTAATGTTTGGTACCATGCCCAGCCTGAACCTCTAGCACCATTTAGTAGGCTGGACCAGCCTTGGACTCTGTCTTGTTTGGCTAGATGGAAGTAATTGTCATTGTGTCCTGAGCACAGTACTGCTGTCACTCTGTAATTCCTCCAATGAGGTGTTGCAAGCAGATACACATGTGCTGTAGCTGTGCTTTAGATTTGGATTCGCCTCTGGGGACAGGCAGTGATAAGTGTTAAGAGCTGTTTAGATCCCAAACTGTTGTTTCTGAATCGACTTCCAGTGAGAGCAGAAGACACGAGGGTGAGGGAGCAGCCGCTTCCCCTGCCAGGAGCATCCTGCTGGGACAGGAGGCACCCCGAGCTCTCCATGCTCTCTCAGCAGCCTGGGTTAATGGCCAGGCTGATGCTGGTGGTAGGGTTTCCCCACAACTGTGGGGAAAAAGGGTTTGCCCTTGTTCAGTGCCTGCCCCCGGGATTTTGCCTGTCAGCTGCAGGGGCAGGTTTGGGTCTGTCGAGGCAGTTCCCCTGTGGAAAGAGGCTGCTGTGATTAATGACCAGTGATGAATGAGAGGGAAAGGGGTAGGGGGAGAGAACTGCCAAGGCTTTAACTCCACTGGGTGCAAAGGTTCAGCCTGCTTTGGATCTGCCGGCAGGAGGGGAAGGCACGTCCAGGTCCTCAGCCAGCCGGGGTGTTAACAAGCGAGAGGTGAGCCTGGGTGATTAGGATGTCCACGGCTGCGTTGCATAAATCAGACTTGGAACGCCAGGAAAAGTCTCCAGGGTGATGAAATGTCTAAGTGTCATCAGCTCTGCAGAGATAATTAGAACCAGAAAAGCACCGGGAGGTAAAATGGCACAGATCAGTGAAAACAGGCTTGTGGGCTCGGGATCCTCGTGGATCTGCGCTGACTGCAGGCTGGTGAGGGGGGGGATGGCCATGGGGGAGGCTGGGTGTTTATGGAGGAGTTGCAGGGGTTAATCCTCCTCAATCTTGGAGACAACCACCTCTGAAAGAGGGAAGTCTTCCTGCCAAATGTGATTCCCTGCTTATTCGGATGCCTTGAACAGAAAGTGAGGAATGGAGGGGAACGGCGGGGATCCACTGCTGCTCTGCCTGTGCAGTCAGTGCGAGGGAGGGCGACCCCCCTGCCTCACTCTGGGCTTGGCCTCTGTGAACTGTAAATCCCAGCCCTGTAACGTGGGGGTTGGTGTCATCCTGGGGGACCCCGCTGGGGGCCAGGAGGCTGTGTGGGACCTTAGGCTGAGCAGAGTCACAGTGTGGGTACAATGTCCCCAGGAGCCACCGGCATCTCCTCCAGTGGTGACCACACTCTGAGGACAGGTCCGCCCGGACCATCCCCAGAGGTCCTGTCCCACCTTCAGTCAGTCGGGGACTGTGGGAGGGAGCTCTGGCAGCTGCAGCTGCTCTGCTGCCAGCACCACATGCTTGTCCAGCTGCGGCATGGAGGCTCGTGGCCAGCCAACATGAGGACAGGAGCCACTATTTCCAGTGGCTTGGTGGTGGTCGTGAAGAAGACCCTGTGTGTCCTCATGGAGCCATCACAAAGCTAGTTCCTCGCAGGAGAGCCTCATGTGGGGCCGTGGCTGGTGCTGGCTGAGCCCCGTGGAGCAGGATTGCTCCTGGGCAAGTCGCCGTGCTGCTGGAAGCCACCTGAGCTGTGCAGACAGGCTCAGAGCTGAGCTGCTGCAACACGTCCGCCTCCAGGCGCTGCGGTGGTGAAGCTGTTCAGCTTTCAAGCCTCCTTGAAGGAGGCAAGGCTGTGAAGCAATGTGGAAGTTAAACAGCAGCAGCCACTTGAGCATCTTTGACGTCAGGTCTGACTGGCTGGTGGCAGCGGCAGGGTTATTTTGCAAAATAGCCATGAAGTATCTGGCGGGGTTTTGTTTTTCTAGCTGCCTCCTTGCTGGTGCCCCAAAGATTTACAGTGAAGGGCAAATGTTTGCTCTCTCCCCTTGTACCTGCCTGTGCCCAAGTGCTTGCTGATGCTGTGCTCCTAGCTCGGGAGGAGCTCTTTGCTGGCTGTGAAATCTCTGCCTGGATTAAGTGTCAAAAGGCAAGTCCTTGGCTTATGGGAAGAGCACACTTGACCTCTGACTCCTCAGAGCTGCGCTCTCCCTTGGGAGGAAGTGTTGGTTCAGGCCCTGAACAAAGCACTGGCTGTCATGAGCATGACCTGCCCGCCCCGGCAGTGACAGGCTGGGCTGGGGTCAGATTTATGCTCCGGAGGGGAGGAGGAAGAGACAGAAGACCCCGTGACCTGGAAGCTTAGAGGTGACCAGCTCAACTTACTGAGAAAAGCAAAGCTACGTTGCCTCCTGTGTTGGTCACAATACATTGTCCAGGCAGATGGGCCACTGGCACATCCAGGTGTGAGAAGGGAAGCTGCTTGGTAAGATCCAAACGGTGTTTTGAATCCCCTTCCTCTCCTTATTTTCTAACCCATTCTTCTCTGTTGTGTTTTGCAGCACCCCTCTCCCTGAATTCCTGCTAACATCTTTGCAGCTTCTCCAGGTCCCACAGAAGATGTCCGCAGTAGCAAACTTGGCCCTAGCCTGGACTTAAGACAACATTACATGTGGTCTGTGGTAGGTGCAGCTAAACATACTTGCTTTCACTGAGCAGTGACATGCATACGGCTCTCACCCGAATCCAGACTTTTTCTCTTGCAGCATGCCCTTTGCTCGATATAACTTGGCTTGCTGTAATGCCTGCGGGCCCAGCAAGGATGTGGGCAAACACAGTGTGGGTGTGTGGGATGGTTTCTTTTTCCATTTCGTCCCTGAGGGGCACAGCTAGGCGCTTTATCTGAGATCGCAGAGGAAGGCAGCAGCAGAGCCAGGGCTGAGCTCAGGTGCCAGTGTCAGCACCCTGGGGCACTGCCCCGGCCCCCTTGCCATGGGCTCTGTGTAGAAGTTGTCAGCTCTCCCTGTGCTGATGCTTTTCCATGCACTCCACTGAGTCAGGCTGCTCTTATATCCAAGCTTATTTGGGACCCCTGCAGCTCAATATTACTGAGAGGGGGGCTGAGAAGGAAGAGATTTACTCACGTGGGGCTGATAAAAGAATCCAGGTCTGCCCAAGCCTCCAAAATGCTGTAAAATTGTTATAAATATGCTCACAGTCAGCTGGAAGAGAAGTGAGGGCATTGGTCCCTTGTGAAATAACATCTCCTTTTGTGTCATCTTTGCTTGTTCCTGTAGGTATTTGTGCAAAATGGGAGGTGAGCGCAGACCCTGCCAGCTGCCAGCCAGGTGTGGATGAGGGGAGGAGCAGTGTCTGTACCCTCTGTACCTGGTGTTGCTTTGCTTTACTACCAGGAGAAAGATTGTTCATCAGCTGCTGTGAACCCAGACCTAGGACAGATGAAGATTTTGTGGCAAGGAACAACCACCACATAACCAAAGCCCTCCTGCATGCTAGGGGCAGAGCTCCCTCCCGCTCCGGCAGCTTACGGGTCTTCTGCACCTCCTGCCTCCGTGTCCCTCACGCCCCAGAGGATCAGCTGTGCTTCTGTTGGCTGGGAAGAGACCGAAATCAGGGCATTTTGCTGTGCGTTTGCGTGGGAGGGCTGCTGTTAGCATGGGCGTGAGAGCCGCACATCTGAGAAACCAATACAAGGAGAGGGGCCGCGCACGTGAAGCGGCTCAGGGCAGCGGGCCACGTTCCTCCTTTAGATCTGCTCGGTGCTGACAAACCCATTAGTGGCAGCTCGATGCCGCTGCGAGCAGGGCTTTGCTGAGAGCCAGAGCCCCGTGGGCTGCCGATGGTGTCTGAGCCACCAGAGCCTGTCCTGCATGGCGCACGGAGCGGCCCCACAGCGGCATTTTGGGGAGCTCTCGGCCTAGGGATGGGTACTGCTGAGTCAGTTCCCTTCCCCATTCCCCTCCTCGAGCCCTGCTGACATGGCTTCCTGGCCCGGTGCTGTCAGGAAGAGGTGGTTTGGTTTTTGGGGAGGGCGTGAGTGTGTGTGCGGCCCGGCCTGGCCCACGAGGGCGTGAGAAGGGCAAGGAACCATCCGCCCAGGCCAGCTGCTTCCTCCACTAGAGCACCGAGACGGAGCCCTGCCATACCCAGACTGTTTGGAAACATGTTGATAAACTTCCAAACGTCTCTTTCACAATCCAGATGTGCTCGCCTTGGCTGTAAACCCTCATCTGAAGAACAGGTGTGCTATAATGTTTCTAACAGTGGCCCCAAAGCCAGCTGGAGGCTTGAGCTGAGCGGGGGCCAAGGGGCTGGTGCCATATAGGATATGGATACCGGGGCAGGGACAGGTGAGGCGGTGAGCTGTAGGTCAGCCGTAGTTCACAGCAACCTGGAATCAGATGGAGGGAAGGCAGGGACGGTGCCAGAACATCCCCAGCCCACAGTCTCTGCTCAGCAGCACCAGAGCCATCTCTGGAGAGGCTTCCCCGGCTGTATGGGCAAGCTGGGTGCACCCATGGGGTGGAAGCACGGGGCTGGAGCTGGCCACCAGCCTTGGTGGTATTTTCTGTGGTTTCCCTCTGCGCTCCCACCAGCTCCCCGCTGGCTCTGCTGGAAACACTGAAAAGAGGGAGATGCTTCTTTGGGCCAAGCTTCAAGTGTGCCTTGGGCCTGGAAAGCAGACATCCTACCCGGGGTGGGGAAAGGTGCCTTGTTCTGCGCCTGGAGTAACCCCTGTCCCTGTAGGAAGAGGATGCTACTTCATCCAGAGCTTCTTGCTCTGCTCAGGAGGTGGTGGCCTGATGTGGTGCAGCATGGAAAGCAGCTTCCCTCCTCTTCTCTGCACTTGCCCTACACTTATTTCTTCGTTAAACTCTCATTCCTCTTTATTCTTGTTTCCAGTACAAACCTGGGCCTCGCTGCAGGCTCTAGGAGCGTATGCCACACCTGGGCGTGGGGTGGGTGACAGCAGAGGCAGCGTGGCAGCCGGTGAGGGGGCTCCTGGAGCTGTGATGCCACTGGAGAGCTGGATTCCCAGCCTGTGAAGTCATCGCTGGGAAATTGGGTACTCAGCCTAATCCCAATAATTACCCAATGGGACTGTAAAGTGTAAATGAACTAGCCTATTGCCTGATGACTGACTACTTGAGCTCTAACACACACCACCTAATAATTGGCGCTTTCTGCAGTTCTCTAAGATTCACTTATTAATAAGCTATTTAACATGCACTTGAAATAACCGCATTGTAACAATCTGAGATCATTTCTCACACAGTCCTTCCAGCTCCCAAAGTGGTAGGAAAGCATCTAAAATTGTGTGAGGGGAGTGGGCCTGCCATTTCAGGGTGGCAGATTAGCCAAGCAAAAATATGGATTCAATGCCAGCCACAGAGGTCACTTCCATTTCAGGGTGCGTGTGGCCATCACCAGGTTTCCTCTGAAGTGCAAAGCTTGAGACTTCCAGCCTGAGTTCCCTATGCCCTCAGCAGGAGAGGGTCGTAAGGAAGGACCAGAAGCTTGAAGGACATGGAAGCTGTTGATTTTTAGGATGGCTGCTTTGGAATCAGAAGCAGGAATGAAATTACTTTAATCCCAAACACTCAGTAGAACTCAAAGCTTTACAATGCTATTAAGAAAAGTTCGTGATGGTAGAGATTTCTCAGAAAAAGCTCCTTCAGCACAGTCTGGCATTACCTTGTTTCTCCCGTCCCCACTGTTGGGTTGTCTTGTTTGGATCTTTTTTTTCTCCTCCAGGTTGTGGACCAGCCATCAGGGAAGGAGATCTTCTGCCCCATGGTTCCTGCATCTCTTCAGCTGTTCTTCCCATTTCCCCGTTCCTCGCCAGTCTGTTACAAGCTGGTGTTCATCAGCCACCTCAGGAATAGCCTTCTGGAGGTAAGACCCTAGAGAAAATAGGAAGAGAAAGCTGCAGAAATCCATACTACCAGGGTCCTTTCCTCACTCCTCTCAATGCGCCCTGACCAAATGGGGACCGTTCCCTATTTGTGAGTCAGAGCCCTTAAAAACCAGCCAGATGCTCCTCTTCTTCTTGCTCCTTCTTCCCTTTCCCCCCTCCTGGAAGCCACTGAGTGCCTGTTCCTCCTGAAGCCCCGCCAGGCGGGTGCCCTGAGCAGGTTGCTCTGGAGGAGGCCGTGGTGGAAGGAAGGGGCTTCCATGCGGGGCAGCCTCCCTGCACAGCGGGGCTCTGTGGGGATGGCCAGACCCGCCTGGCCTCCAGGCCCCTCTACCAAAAATGGGGCTGGAAGAGGCAGAGAGGCCAGGCCCAGCCTCCTGGGGGGATGGAGGCTGCAGTCGGATCACTGCAAATGGGACTTCATTAATTATAAATGGACAGGTTCCCCTGAGCTGCTGTAGCTCTGCATGAGTCACATTCTAGCTGTTTTCTCTCTCTTTTTTTTTTTTCTTCTTTTTTTCTTCTGGACGAGTTGCTGAAGGGGCTTGAAATAACGTGATGGATAAATAAGGAGCCAGCTGTGCTCTGCAGCCAGCCCCACCAGAGCCTTTCTGCAGCAGTAGCCCACAGCGATCTCCTCTCTGCCTCACTCCTCACTCCCATCCCTTGGGTTCTGCCATCTGTTCCTGCTCTCCAGGTTTCTCCTCCTTCACAGCAGCATGTTTTCCTCTCGTGTTGTATCCTCCTTTCCAGCGTGTGGTCTCAGCCCCCGGTAACGTACGGACATGTGTTTAGACAACAGCACGACCAAAGAGTCTGGCCAGGGGACACCCACTTGGCTGGGCTGTGCCTCCCGCCCCCGACTCGGAGAGGGTCCTGGCTAAACGAAAGCAGAAGGAGCAATAAACCCAGCTAGGAGGTGCTGGACAATTTGTGTTCTGTTTTCTGACGAGATGCCGTCACTGACATGGTTCTCGGCTGCCTGCTGGCCTCCTCGTCACGGGGGGAGGCCGGGATGTACCCTGAGGGACACACCGAGAGTGGGTGGAGGTGGCTGGAGGGCCAGCGTGTGTCTGCTTGGGTCTGTTCCCAATGGTCCAGTGGGAACATCTCCTTCCCTGGGTGTCCTGCCAGCGTGTGTGCTGAGCTGTGTGTGCACTGTGGCACAGCCAGGGTGTCAGATGGTGTCTGTGGAGGATTTGCTGGCTGTGCTCTCACATTTAGACACCACTTTTCTTGCCTCTCCAATGTCCTTGGTGTTAGAGGTCCTCTCCAGAGATATCTGCACTGCTGGAAGCTGTTTCTCCATCCAGCTCCCTGTGCATTCCTGCCTCGTCTCTTGACTTTTTTTCAGAGTGGCTGTGACTTGCACCTCTGAAAGGTGGCTCTGTGCTCTGCTTTTTGAGCCGTGGGGCTGGCCAACCTTCACCTGCCCTTCAGCCCGTGCCGGGGGAGGGCTCCTTTTCCTCTCTGGGAGCTCCAGGCAGCTCCTGAATCCGTGGAATGTGTCCCATCTGCAGCGCGTTAGGGGTCCGCTCACAGATGAGGAAGAAGCACATGTGGGTTGTGAACCCTTCAGAAGAGGAAGAAAAGGGGCTAATTAATCTAAGGGATGCAGTGCCAGGAGCCGCATCTGGGGGCCAACTGGCCCTGGACGCGTGGTTCCCAGGTGCTGCCCCTCCGAGGGGGTACTGCAGAGGCGGTGTGGACATGGAGGGTGGGGGAACGAGGGTGCACAGAGGGGCCCTTGTGGAGACCCTGCATCTCCATCTGACCTTGGCCTCTCCTTCAGTGCTGTCTCAGCCACCTAGAAGCCGGTGCATGGACATACAGGGAGGGGAACGCGGTGGCCCTGCTTTGCCCTGAGCACTTTGCCCACCTGCAGCTCACCCTCCCGGGCCAGCGCTGTGCTTCCCGCCGTCGGCTCGCGCTCTCCATCCTCTCTCTGCTGCTAATCTCTCTTCCCAGGCGTGGGTTTGATCTCGGCGGCGAGCAGCCCGACCGTCCGCGCTCTGTCTGCGTGAGTTCCTGAGAAATGAGGTATTTCGTGTTTGTCTGCTGAGCCCCCGCTGAGCAGCGTGCTGCAGCCCAGCTCGCCTTGCAGCTCCCCACGCATCCCAATTTCCAATTCATTTTTGGGGAGGGCTGAGTGTGAGACTGGGAGGCAGCATCCCTGTGGGTGTGCATCACCCCCCTGCTCACCCGCACTGGGATCACTGCCATCACTCCTCACCCGCTGGGCACTCACCATGCCCTCGGTGGCCACTGCTGCTCTGTAGCACTCCTGTAGGGTCGAACAGCTCCGCACATCCCTGTGAGAGCACCTGCTTGCTGGGTGAGGCTGGGAAGGTCCGGGGGCTCTTGGTGGTGGCTGTAAGCACAGCACGGGGCTGATCTGAGATGGGACGCCAGCCCCCCCTGGCTCCGTGTGGGGCACTGGCTTTATAAACCTCATTCCTCAGCTCTGCGGGGGAGACGCAGGCTCCTGCAGCCTGGGCAAGGCTGAGCCTGCATCTTCCCAGGGTGACCCCGTTCCCCCGGGGGCAGGAACCCCCTGGTGCCCCGGCCGAGCCCGCAGTGGGGCTGCCTGCAGTAGCTCCGAGCACTCTTTCAGCCGCTCTGTTTATGGCTTTGTTTATGGTGTTGATACTTTTCTTGTGTCAGGTTTAGGCACAAGCATTCTTTCCACTGCTGCATAAGAAAGTAATTAGGTGAGGATGGAAAGGACATTCTTCTTCCTCAGAACAAAGAACTGAGCCCTGGCTGTTATCGGGCACTGCTCGAGGGGTCCAGGGGCTCTGTGAGCTTCTGCCCAAGCGGGCGGAGAGCTGGCCGCATCCGGGGAGCACGGAGGTGCCTGCTGCTCCTTGCTTTGATGCTGTTGCCAGCTGCTGTCACCGAGGCTGAAGCCCAAACCCACTCAGCCCCCCTGCTCCTGTCGCACTTGCTCACCTCCAGGGGCTCTGGTTCCAAGAGCCCCTGCCCTGCAGGCAAACGTGAGGGTAGAGGGAAAGGATTGCCCTGTGCGTCCCCCATCTCTCGTGTTCTCCCGCAGGCATCCAGTAGCTGCTCTCAGGTAGGGATGCTGAGATGCACCTTTCATCTGCCCGACCCTGATAGAACAAACCCGAGCTGATGAGCATTGCAGGACACCTCTTTTTGCAAGACACACTGCAGGGACATGCTGCTGGGTATCTCCCCGCCTTGAGTGCCCGCAGCACACTGCTTTGCTCTCCTCATGTGCAGAGATACAGAAAGAAGTTTTTAGCCACCCACCGAGCTCACAGCCACCACTTGCGGGCCAGAGGGAGCCCACCCCAAATACACCGTGCTGTCTGGCAGGGATGGAGCCTGTGCTGCTCCAGGAGGACTCGCTCCTGCCCAAAATGGCCAAGGGCAGTGGAGAGCAGCAGGGACGTGGCAGAGGATCAGGCTGAGCTGGCACATCTGGCTGAAAGGAGACTTTTGGCCACTTTCTCCCTCCTGCCACTCTTCCCTCGGTCCTTCTCAAAGCATTTAAGGCTCACTGGGAGCCAGGTGCCCGCAGGGAGGCGGATGGGAGGGATGGAGGTCTGCCCAGCTGGCGGGCTGTCTCCTGGAAGGTGCCACTGAGCTGAAGGACCTGGAGCTTCTGGGTGGGTCCTTTCCCAGCCCGGACCTACACAAGTAAGCACGAAAACCCTGAGCCGGGCTTGGGGGTGAGACCTCGGAGATCCCCGGAGCCAGCACGGGATGGCAAATAAAGCTTCCACCGCCGTGCCTCGGCTCTCTGCTGGGAGATGCCCCCGGGAGCCGCGGGCCGGCTGCCGGTGCTGCTGCGGCTGCGGAGAGCCCCAGATTTGGGGTCGGGGGCGCGTTCCTCTGCCCGCCCCCGGTCCCGCTCGGGGCTCCCAGGCTCGCTGCGGGCAGGGAGGGGGCAGCGGGGGCTGCTCGCTGCCGGGCCGGGCTCCCCGGGCAGGCAGGGGTTAAGGCTCCTCCGTTGTAGTTTGTTTCCCTTTGCCAAAGTGGGTGTTGCTGGAATGTCTCCTCTCCTAAGGAGGGGGGCCGAGCCGTGTCCTCCGGAGAGGGGGGGGGGGCGAGGGGGGGGGCGATGTCAGCATCAAAAAGACACAAAAGGGGGAGGTTTCCAAAAATAAAACCCTCCATCCCCTCCAGGCTCTGCCAGTGCCAGAGGCGGGCGCGAAGGTGCTCGGAGCTGCCCGCGGAGCGCGCCGGGGGGGGGGGGGACGACGACGACGACGACGAGCCGCCTTCCTCCTCCTCCTCCTCCTCTTCCTCCTCCTCCTCCTCCTCCTGCCGGGCCGCCCGGTGGGCAGCAGGTGCCGGCGGAGCCCGGCGGGGCGATGGGGCAGTGAGGCTCGGCTCCGCCGGGCGCACCGGAGCGCAGCCGGCGGGGCGATGCCCGCCCCTCGCCGCCGGCTCTCGGCCGCCCCGCGGGCTGACAGCATGCGGGGAGCCGCGGCCAGCGTCCTGCCCCTCACCTTCGCCATCCTGCTGGGGCTCGGCGACTGCCAGCGGGACCTGGCGGCCAGGCTGGAGCCCGGCGCCTCCCGGCGAGCCGAGCCCCGGCGCTTGCGGGGCCAAGCGGCGCCCCTGGGGGCTGCGGGCACGGCGCCGGGGCTGCCCCGGCCGCACCGAGCCCCCCAGGAGGCAGCGCCCCTGCCCGCAGCCCCCGGCCCCGGTGGCGGAGACGGGCTCGGGGCCCGGCGGGGACACGGCCACGGCCACGGGCACGGGCAGGGGCTGGCGGCCACCCGGCAGCGGCCCCGGAGCGGGCTCCGACCCCGAGCCGTGCCCCGGGCGAAGGAGCCGAGCGGCGCCGGGAGGATCGCGGGGTAAGTGCCGGGACCCCCGCGGGACCCCCGGGGGCTGCCTCCCCGCCGTGCTGCGGGCTGCGGGACGCCCCCTCCGCTTTTCCCCCCGGGCTCGGTGCCCCGAGAGGGGCTGCAGGGGCTCGGCTTTCCCCGAGGGATGGAGCGAGGCCGGGCGCTGCGGCTCGAGCTGCAGGTACCTGGCCTCTTGGCTCCTTCCTCCCATAATGGGCCCCTTGTAAGCGCTCCGCACGGCAGCTTCCCATGGCTTCAGCTGGCTCGGCCGGGGGAGGCTTCTTCCGAGCCGCCTGGCAGGGCTGCGTCCCGCTCCGGGCTCTGGCTGCAGCCCTGTGGAGGTGGAGAGGAGATCATATGGCAAGGCCAGCTGCTCAGCGGCCCAGGGGAGCTGCAGCGGGACGGCTGGCACGGCGCTGAGAAACCCTTTCCCCTGGGCTCCCTGCTCTGCGGTTCCCTCTGTGCTCCCCTGCTGCTGATGCCCCTCGGGATGGGTGCCCCTGCTAGAGGGATCGGCCACCAGAGCCCTGGCACGGGCAGCGGGACCGACACATGTGGCAGCACGCATCCACTCCCCCTGTGAGCCCTTGTGGGGGGAAGCAGAGGGCAGGCTGTGGGCTCACTGCCCTTGAACACGGGCAGAAAGGTCTTCTGTAACGTGGGGAGGGATCTGCACTAGAATGCAAAAGGCAGCTTCATCCCTGAGCTTTCCCTCTCCCGTACTCGTCTCCCTGCGAAGTTTCAAGCCAGAGCTGTCTCCGTGTAGTTTCTGCACCCCACGTGGTTTCCTACAACTCCACAGAAGCAGTAAACACAGCCTCGCTTTTCTTCCCCATTACGTCTGATACTCAGAGTCCTTACCGCTACCAGCGAGGCAGTGGCAGGCAGGTCCCGAGCTGTTGGCTTACTGACTCCTCTAGCCGTGTTTTGCCCGCTGCCCAGAGGGACAGCACGCTGAAAACATTCCTTGGGAGACCCGGTCCTGCTCACTCGGGTTTGGGGTCCTCTGGGCTCAGGAGGATTTTAACCTTTCTGCAGCCCCGGTGTTGTCAGCCGTGCTTTAGGGTCTCGTGGCAGCTCAGCTGGGGCTGGTCCCTTGAGACGAAGCCCATTTCTTCCCAGTGACCACCCTGCAGTCCCGCGGGGTCCCCAGGCTGCGCCCAGTGCCAGCATCCAGCCCACGCTGCCACGGGGGGCGAGCTGCCCCGAGCTTCATGCTCTGTTTGGAAGACCCTCTGAGGAAGCAGTCCCGGTGTGTCCATCGCCGCCGCTCTGTTGGCCTGTTATCAGAGAGATGTGGCTCCCTGGGGCACGGGGTGGTGTCCTCCAGGCTCTGGGGAGCGAAGAGCCGCACCTCGGAGCCGCGCTTTGTCTGCACTCTGCCTCTGCTCTGGAAGGTGAGGGCTGGGAGGAGTGAGCTTGCTGTGGTCCCCGAGAACTTGAACTCTGGAACGTGCCTCTAATGGCCTGTTGGCAGTAGCTTTCCATCTCTTCTGGAGTCCAAATCAGCACTTTTTAAACTTCCCTGTGACCTACCGTCTTTGGCTCCTACGAGAAAGCCGAGCTAAAATCGCCGCCGGTGAGTAACCACATGGCGTTGCTCCTCATGGAAAGCTAGCTGCTGCTGCCTCCAAGCCTCTCCGTGAGACTCCCGGCCTTCCACCTCATCCATCTTCTTATGTCCCTTGCTGCACTGGACACGTTTCCATCCAGGAAACGCAGGGCCCCTAAAAAACTTCATTTTATGATGTTTCATTTTTTTGCCAGGTGGGATATTTTCTCTTCTGCTATTTGCACTGCACTCTTGCTGCTCTCTGGTATGTCAACCTTCATTTTCCCTTCCTCAGGTGGCTTTGCAGCCTGCTCTCCACCCCAGTGCTATTTATTCATGTAGTTACTTTGGCTTAAAATCCCAGCGTGGGATGCCTTTCCTGGTTCCCAAGTCACAGTTTTCTGCTGGTACCTCCAGTGGCCTTGCCCAGGTCTCCATGCTTACTGTGAAAAGGCATCATGTGGCTGAAAAAAATGGTTATTAGCATGGTATCTCCTCTGCAGAATTGGCTTCCCACTTTGTCTGACAGTAGCATATCCCAAATTGAGTTTCATTCTCAGGGACCGTTTGGATGTGTGCAGTACCCTGCTCACTGTGCTGCAGGTGGGACCTGCTCACACCCTCCCCTGGGAGCATCCAGCCGAAAGCCTTGCCTGAGCTGGCTTTTGGTGTTTTCTCCTGTTGGCTTGTTGTGAGGTGACTTCTGACAACACAGCATGTATCGTGGAAAACTGCTGTCTTCTAACACTGACCACAAGAAAGGATGCAAAAGGATGCTGTGAACAAATCCTCATGTGCTGCACACTAAAACTAGAGGGAGCTGGGTGGAAGCCTCCACTTTTGCTACTTGCCTGGACAATTTTGGGGGGCATGTGATGCTTTTTGACAGGGAATCCTGGGCTAACAGGCTGGGAATCCCATATTTTCTCCTTCTGCCCCCTATTTTCTTTCTGTGCGTTGGCTAATGCACAAAATTTTTGACTAATTCCTGTCGTGGATGCTGCCTGCAGTTGTATGGTGCTGGTTCACCCAGGTTTTTGGGATATCGGCTCTCACTGCAGTGTACACTTAGGACTGCTCAGGCACAGAGGCAGTTAATGCTGATGTGGACTTGGCAGAGCGTTTTCAGTGGCTCTTTGATGCCAGCAGCCTTTTGCTAATGTTTTTCGCTGGGTCTGCCTGCAGATATTTCATACACAGTTGGATGGAGTTCACTGTCCTGCCGTATAAAGGCAGACCTGGTGATCTAATAGTCCCCTGGCCTTCTGTGAGGATGCTGTGAATGACTCGCATGGAGCCAGCGTATCTGGCAGCGGAGCACTGCGTGAAGTCGAAGGATGATGCATGGATTACAGCTCAAATAAACGGAGAAAAAATGCTTCTGCCGAATGCTTCAGAAACAAACACCGTGTGATCGCCACCAAGGCTGTGCACATGCTTAAACTATGTGAAGCCGCGATCTTACTACTGTTTTCTGCTTTTCCTTCCCCCTAGCGCTTGTTGCAGTTGTTTGGCTCTGGTTTCAAATAACACTGTGAAATCTCGCTGCCTTTTCTCGCCCCGAGTGCTTGTGTCCCCCTTCCCGTGGCGGGGACCTGCTCCTGACGGCGTGCTCCAGCTGCTGCAGCGGAGTGGGTGGTAAAGACTTGGCTACAGTTTTTGCCAGGCTGTGGGTTATGCTGGTGCATCCAGCACCACAAATAGCACTGCTTGACGGGGAGGAAGCTTCGTGGCACTGAGCTGGGCTGGGAAATATTCTGGAGGGTTCCTGTGAACCCTGCAGCAGTCCGATGTCGCCGACAGCCACGTCCCAGCACCTGGGAACATCTCCAGCCATGTCACCCCCCACTGCCCTTCTGCTGCCCACTCTCCTCTGCCTGCTGCCTTGCCTCCAGTTTGCAGGGCAGCACGGCGAGCAGGAGGCAGGCTGAGTGCTCCAAAGCTGGGAGCATGGCCTTGGCTCACGTCGATACCTCACGGGTCCCCTCGCCAGGAGGCTCTGCCAGCTCCTTCTCATCATCCCTTGGGAGCTGCTGTCCCCTGGGTGATGCCCATCGGCTGCCTGGGTACAGTGACACCAGGCTGGAGGGACCCTGCTGCTGGTTTTGCCATCCCGGAGCAGCCCCACATGCCCAGGGGTGGCTCACAGCCTTGCCCTGGTGTTGGTAGTGAACATGCCGTGCTCCTCGGACCTCCAGGTGTGAGCAGATGCAAGAATTAATTTGACTTGTTTGCAGGAAGCCACAGCGAGGGAATTTAAGTGCTTTCTCCCTGTAAAACCTACCTGGGTTAACAAAATGTTGATCCTGAAGGGCTGGATAATGCTTTACAAATGATGTGGCTTCTCAAACCACTTCCCCTTCCTACGTGCGGTGACTGTGTCTCTACTGGCAGCTTCCAGGGCAATCCTGGCATGCCTGCTGCCCACCCCCTTGGCTCTCCTGAAACCTGAGCCCCACACCTTGAACTCTGGCACCTCTGGCACCGCCATCTCATGCCGTGGGAATGCAGGAGTCATGAGGATGCTGGTTCGGAGCAGGATCTTCTTCTGACCCTGTTGTGTTCATGTGAAAGTCAATCCAGAAGACAAATGTACAAGTTTCCATGGTTCCTGTAAATTCTGTCAGCAGCTCCAACTGCCTTGTCCAGCGTTAGAAATAAACCACACTCCCGACTTGGTTTGCAGAGGCTTTCCAGAGCCGTCAGGCTGCCTATTTCTGACTTTGTATCGTTTGACAGCTGTGCTCTCCCCTCTACCTAGATACACAAAAGTTACGCATTCCCCAAACTTTCCCTCTGCGGTGAGTAAATGCTCTTGGAGAACAACGTGCAGCTTGTTCTCCCTCCTCCTTATCGATGTGTCAATAGGAGAGGTGGCCAGAGGCAGCAGGGCTGCCTGCCTGCTTTGGTTTTGCAGGGCGCAGCGATGTCCCTGCCAGCCACCCGTGGCTGGTGATTGCCACCTGAAAGTGCTGGTGGGGAGGATGCTGTCCGTGTGAGGGCAGCCCAAGCGACCTTGCGTCAAAGTGCTGGAATTAACAGCCGTGGAAATGAGCTGAGCCTGCTGGATCGAGCGTCAGCACGAGGTGCTTAGCTGCAGAGGGCTGGCAGGCCGCAGGCAGACAGCAATGGCAGGCCGCGGCTGCTGGCGCGTCAGGCAGGGGAGGCCGCGTTGTCTTCAGCTGCAGCCGCCTGGGATGTGTCCGTGGGCGAAACGCTGTGGCCAGAGTGGGAACGAGCCCGATTTATGCCCCAATGCCATGGAAAAAACACAGTGCCATGAGGTCTGTAAAGATGGCAGGCCTCTGGCCTGCCACTGCCCTCAGGAGGAACGTGGCTCCTCAGCGCCGTGCCGGCTCGGCACACACTGCCGCATTCACGCCGTCCCGGGGGGGTTTCTTCCAGGCACTTGAACAACTCAGCCCTTGTCCGATGGGTTTTGATCTCAGCTGCTGGTCCATCTGGAAGGAAATATCAGATGCTGCAGGAAATAATTTTGCGGGTGACTCAGAGGTGCTGGCTGCAGAGACCTCGGCTCCCCCTGCTCCTCCTCATCGCGCTCTTTTGTCTCTTTGCTCAGGCCCAACGTCTGCGGGAGGCAGTGCTGCTCGGGATGGACCGTGGCCCCTGGCACGAACCGCTGCATCAAACGTGAGTAGGGACACCACAGCTTGCATGTCCCCAAAGCATCGGGACCCTGCAGGTGGACCCCACGCTGGGCAGGGCAGGGGATGGGCTCAATCCCCACACTGGGGGCAGCATCAGGGCATCCCCCGAGCATCTGGCTTTGCTCGAGTGGCAGCAGCTGCCCAGATGTTTGGCTGGAAGGAGCTCGGCGTTGTTTGCCGCGGGGTCTCGCAGCGCTTGGGCTGCGCCGGGATAATTGCATTAGCAATCGCCGTTCGGGAGCGAGGGGCCAAGGGCTGACTCACCTCCTT